GTACATACATACAATGAAACTCTGGGGCTTGATCTGATGTTTTGGTTGGCGTTATGAGTAGAAACACTCCACTAAAAACATTCTGGAGGAGGGACAAAGTTTGAAGATACGCGAACAGAAATGATATAGACCAGCTGGACATTTTGCAGCACGGGGATTCCTTTTCCAAATCTTATTATTTCTTCCTCCAAAATTTCAATATAAATGTCAGCAGCTAATAGCAAATCTTTTTTACCAGGAACGTCATTATAATAGGATCTGCGTATAATATGTTTGGGGAAACACGATACATTGAGTTTGAACGAAGAGTCGAAATTTGGAGATAAAATTATGTTTAGCATTTTGTTTGAGATTGTGCAATTTTGTGAATGCTTTATTGTTTTATTTTGAGGTAACTATATATCATTTATCCCAGTTTATCAACGAAATCCTAAGTAATAAAAGATATTTGACTTCCATTGTCAATCAAAGCACGAGCTCGAATAGGAGCATTATTCTTGGAGTAAACTGTAACTAGGGCAGTGGCTAAACGAATTTCATTATAAAGTGTGAGAGACAGGGTCGCTGAGTAGTTCCACTGCATCATTTGGTTGAGAGTGTGTAATGTTTTGTCGATAATGAGTGGACCTATTGTTTTGTGAAGAGTAATTGGGTTGATATGAGTAGGGAGTGAATGACAATCTATCTTGCTGATTAACATTTCGCCGATTTTGAGTGTATGATAGGTATTTTGAGATGTATTAGAATTAGAATCTTGAGTGGTATGAGAGTGGCTAACATTAGGATTGCGATGTTGAGCATTTGAGTGGTTATTGGAGAATGAATTATTTCTTGAGGATGTGTCAAAATGTAATAGAGAATGATGTTTTCTTTCTTTTTCAACCTTTGAGAATTGCAACCTTGTGCGTTGGGTCTAGTACCTAAACAATTGGTACACATTTGCTTGTTTCTTGCATTGCATTGATATATTCTATGAGAAGATCTATTGCAGTATGAATATTTTTGTGAAGTTGCCAAATTGTTGTTGGTAGAATGAAGTCTGGTACTTGTGAAATGAGCAGTTTTCTGATTATTGTGAGTGAACTTTGCTTCCTTGGCGTCAGTGTCATAAAGTTTTTCCCGGATATCGCACCTTTTTTTTCCAAAAAATCAAAGAATTGTTTCAAAGTGGGTATGCTTTTTGCTCGAACCTCGTATTCGATAGCTTTACGACTAGCAAAATCAACTTTTTCCAGAAAAATCTCTATGAGAATTGAATCCCAATGCTCTATGGGTACTGCCCTATTTTCAAGCGCTATAAGGATTTGTTTGAGCATTTAACCAAAGAGGGTACCATTATAAGTCCTTTGACAAGCAAACCTATAATATGAGATTTATTTTCATATCGCTCCTTTAAAGTATCAAGGGCAATGTTGAAATTATTATCCACTACCTCAATGCTGTCACTAAGATTCAACGGTTCTCCTCTGAAATATGATTTTAAATATATAAATCTCTGAAGGTCATTAAGATGCCTATTGTCTATAACAAGTGTAGAAAACAGCTGAAAGAAAGTTCCACTCTGAGAAATTACCGTTGAATATTTTGACAGAGAAACCTAGGGATACTTGAGATAGTCTTGAGAGGAGGCTTGATTCAGATCCTTAAGCTTACTTTCAATTACAGCGAGTTCCGGTGTATACTTCCTCCAAGGTTTCATCTAAGGGTAAGCACATAGTGGAGCGACGAGCAAAGTAGTGAGCAGTGAGGAGAGCAAAGCAGCAAAAACTAACACACGAGATCAAATTGTTTGACACATAGTGAAGAGCAATGCGGAGATTTAGCAGCGCTGTTAATATCGAGCAAAGCGACGCGTTCAAGCAAGTTTGATTTTTCTACTTTGCTCGTTGGTCTCTGTGTTGTAAAAATAGACGTTGAACAATTAATAAGTAGTATTTTTGTTAAAAATCCATTGTGCAACCAAAGATGAGATACCCAACAATCAACATCATAACCGATATAGGTATATTAGATAAGTTGTGGGATGATGTAGCAAGAAAAATGAAATCATCAATCAAGTGAAAAATAAATTATATTATTAATTGATTGCTGCTGGACCAATTGGGATTATGGTAAAGTTAGTCCATTTTTTCACCAATCTTTGTTCTATTTTCTCCAAAATGTAATCAAAAGTTTTAATAATCATTAAAAGATAAGAGTGAAATTTTTCTGGATGTTGCCGTAATTCCTCATATAAATGGTGATATTCGCCTAATCGAAGTTTGCTTCTGTTTATATGGTGTGCACTACACCTTCTTTTTTTCTTTCTGTCTTCTCATTAAATACCAAAATTTTTAAAGACGACGTTTGGGTTAAAACCAAATTATTCATTTTTAACTTTTTTACTCGAGTATTAACTCGCTACTATGTGCATACAATTCTTTCATCCACTCTCTGCTCAATTGACGCTCTGCTCTCCGCGCTGCCCGCTGCTCTGCTCGCCGCTCCACTATGTGCTTAGCCTAACTCGCCACTATGTGCATACAATTCTTTAATCTACTCTCTGCTCAATTGACGCTCTGCTCTCCGCGCTGCCCGCTGCTATGCTCACCGCTCCACTATGTGCTTAGCCTTAGGGTAAGCAAATAGTGGAGCGACGAGCAAAGTAGTGAGCAGTGAGGAGAGCAATGCAGCGAAAACTAAGGCTAAGCACATAGTGGAGCGGTGAGCACAGCATCGAGCAGAGCATCAAATGAGCAGAGAGTGGATGAAAGAATTGTATGCACATAGTGGCGAGTTAATACTCGAGTGAAAAAAATAAAAATGAATAATTTGGTTTTAACTGAAACCTCGTCTTTATAAAAATTTGGTAATTAATGAGAAGACAGAAAGAAAAAAGAAGGTGTAGTGCAAACCATATAAACAGAAGCAGACTTCGATTAGGCGAATATAACCATTTATATGAGGAATTACGGCAATATCCAGAAAAATTTCACTCTTATTTTCGAATGAATATTAAAACTTTTGATTACCTACATTCTGGAGAAAATAGAACAAAGATTGGTGAAAAAATGGACTAATTTTAACATAAACCCAATTGGTCCAGCAGCAATCAATTAATAATGTAATACATTTTTCACTTAATTGTTTACTTCATTTCTCCTGCTACATCATCCCACAACTTATCTAATATGTATCGGTTATGATTTTGGGGATTTTTTTGGTCCCACAATGGATTTTCAACAAAAATACTACTTATTAATAATTATTCAACGTCCATTTTTACAACACAGAGACAAACGAGCAAAGTAGAAAAATCAAACTTGCTTGAACGCGTCGCTTTGCTCGATATTAACAGCGCTGCTAAATCTCCGCACTGCTCTTCACTATGTGTCAAACAATCTAATCTCGTGTGTCAGTTTTCGCTGCTTTGCTCTCCTCACTGCTCACTACTTTGCTCGTCGCTCCACTATGTGCTTACCCTAACACACAAGATTAAATTGTTTGACATATAGTGGTGAGCAGTGCGGAGATTTAGCAGCGCTGTTAATATCGAGCAAAGCGACGCGTTCAAGCAAGTTTGATTTTTCCACTTTGCTCGTTTGTCTCTGTGTTGTAAAAATAGACGTTGATTAATTAATAAGTAGTATTTTTGTTAAAAATCCATTATGGAACCAAAAAGATACCCAACATCATAACCGAAACATATTAGATAAGTTGTGGGATGATGTAGCAAGAGAAATGAAGTCAACAATCAAGTGAAAAATTTATTATATTATTATTATATATTATTAATTGATGGCTGCTGGACCAATTGAGATTATGGTAATGTTAGTCCATTTTTACCAATCTTTGTTCTATTTTCTCCAAAATGTAATCAAAAGTTTCAATATTCATTGAAAGATAAGAGTGAAATTTTTCTGGATGTAGCCTTAATTCCTCATATAAATGGTGATATTCGCCTAATCGAAGTTTGCTTCTGTTTATATGGTGTGCACTACACCTTTTTTTCTTTCTGTCTTCTCAGTAAATACCGAAATTTTTAAAGACGACGTTTCGGTTAAAACCAAATTATTCATTTTTATCTTTTTCACTCGAGTATCAACTCGCCACTATGTGCATACAATTCTTTCATCCACTCTCTGCTCAATTGACGCTCTGCTCTCCACGCTGCCCGCTGCTCTGCCCGCCGCTCCACTATGTGCTTAGCCTAAGCGATTCATCATGAAGTTCAAATAAATGCTTTCTGAACTTATCATATTTTGAAAAATGTTGTTCTAAGAGCTCCTTTTTTACAGAGAAAAATTCAAAAATGTCCGTTGCTGTTGAGTCTTTATTGCTGTTAACCCAATTATAAATTTTGGTAATCCTAGTTTTATAGGATTTTCTTTCCTTTCTTAGTAAATCCATGTGGAAAGAAAAAAGGAAAAAGAAAATTAAATTAAATTTAAAATCTACAAATTATTTACAAGTTACAACTTAATTTAGTTTTATGTTATTAGAAACAAGCATTTACGAAAAACACTAATGTTTTGCTTTAGGGAGCATTGACTAACACCAAATTGCTCTTGAAGTCAGTGTTTTATTAAAAATACTAAGAGCTTGAACCTCAAAGTACAAATGTAAAAAACTGGAATTCTCTCACCCAATTGCTGCTGTTGCCTGCATTACCATAATCCGAAGCATAATCCATAATCTATCTGCTAGCACGTTAGTTTTTCATTTTTGGACCGCGGCGAGCTCGTCTTTACAAGTCTTGACTTTTCAGTACACGCGTCTATGAATGTTTTTATATTGCGAGTGTACCTCTAACCCGTATTGTTCAGGCTTCGAATTAGGAATGGGTTTTTGTCCAAATTGACTAAATTCTTGTATTTTATTACACTATCCAGTAGCCAAGAACCATTTAATGTAGGAGATTGAACTGTCTACATTAGGAGAGGGAGTCTATGTTAACTAGAGACTCTAAATGAACTGTAAATAAATCCAATACTTGTTCACTTTTTTATAACAACTTTATTGAACTTCTCAGGATTGAATCAATACACAAATTGTCGAAACACTGGAACAGTGAATCAAGAAAAACACAAATTAATTACTTCTAATTTTGCGCTCAAGAGAGAGCAGGTTTGTGTGTTGCACCACCAAACATAAGGGTCGCGTCAGGTACTTCTAGGACTGATTTTCTGTGTTTTATCGATCCGGTCTATGGGTAAGAAAAGGATCAAGAGCATTGCGTCAGCCGCCCTGGGCGAAAATATCGTAATAAACCCATTTTTAGGGAAAAGAGAAAAATAACCGTTGTGGTTCCACAACAGTTTCAAGCGAGGTCTCAAGTTTTGAGACCCAGACAAACCTTGTATCACTAAAAAGAAACAAAACAAATATTTGTACCTGAATTTATTTAAACACGATCAATTATTACATAATTCTTTTTTTTTTTTTCTAATACAATTTGTAAAAATTATAGCAAACTTTTCAGAGTAACCTGACGATTTGTAACTTTCTACAAAACTATCGAATTGAAATTGCTAGTAAAATTGCTTCAAACATACTTTATCAAAATGCATAATTTCTGATTATTAAAATACCATCCATTCACAAAACTCTTTCATACCAAAACTTATTCTCTAAGAAGAATTAATTTTTTTTTTTTGTATTAAAGGAATCAATATTATAATTTTTTTGTTTTCTGTCCATTTTTTACTTTTTTTAGATCCTCTTGGGTCCTTTCAAAAATAATCCAAAATTATTTATCTTGTGGAAAACTCAAAACTTAATCCTAAAAAATAAAGTGTAAATGGTTCTTTACTTTACCCATTAATATGGTGCAAAATATCCTCCCCGTCTGTAGGACCTGAAATTATAGAGATCAGGTCATGAAGAATAAGTTTTGCAGTTCAAAGCGGAAAATAGAAACAACCAAAACTAAAAGAAAACTAATACTCAACCAGGAAAAAAAATTAAACTACTTTTATGGATTTCATTTTCATCTTTGTTACCACTTGAAATTTATGACATATTCAACTACCTGCCTTAGTGCCCACTTAATTTGCATTTTGAAACTGAAATGCAATAATTCGATGTTTGGGTTGATCCATGGTCATGTGCACAAGGGAATAAACATTTTCAGTCGTTCATATCCGAACCAGAACAATAACATCTGCTCAGACATAGTGTGATCTGCATTTCGATTCGATCTTTTTGAAACCCAGCCACTGATAAAGCAAGTCTAGCAATTATAATACTATCGATGGACAAACTTTATTAAAATACTAACAAAGAGATTGACCAATAAATTTGACCACCTCAGAAAAGGCTGAAGTAATTGAATTCAGGGAAGCACAATCCAAAATATCTACACTGGCTTTAGAAAAAGTATTCAAGGAACTTGACTAGAAAAACAAAGAAATGAAAATATACATACCTGGATTGGCTATGGTATGCTGATGACGTGTTGATAGCATGAAGTGTTGGAGAACCTAAAAAATGTTAACGGACTGAAGAAAAAATCTATAGAAATTGGGCCAAGGGAAAACCGAGAGGACAACAGGTTCAAGAAAAAGAAAAATGGAGAATTCATTAATGTATCAAAAATTGTGTGGGGTTTTATTGAAAATTCAGTAGAAAGGACAATATTATAGGCAATATATTGTATGATCCAGTAACAGTAGGAGCACCGAGTCAGCCAATCGGAGTGAATTATTTGATGATGATGATGATGAATATTTATAGTGCCAGTTCTTAATTTTAACAACTCGCGCTTTCTCTAGTCAGGAAGGATCATGGACAGTGTGCATTGTAGTCTATGTAGCATGTGCATTGTAGTCAAACATGCCATAAAGTTCATAAGTTATTTTATCACTGGTACTAAATAAGCTAACCTGGGTCGACGCATAGGCCTATATCCACCATAAAATCCCCTGCTGACACCTCTGCTTCCTCTAAAAGTTGACGCACCCCTAACTCCCCGTGGCGCCCTGTTTGTTGACGATATCCCTGGCCTGTTTGTTCTTTTTGGCATGACCTGACATTGAAAAAATTAATATTTTTCAAAACCAAATCAATTAATTTACCTTTATCTGTCTTCCTCTGAATAAAGATTCATCCATAGCCATAGCAGTCTGCACAGAATCCCTGTCACCAAACTCGATGTAAGCAAATCCTTTTGGATGTCCATCAAATTTATTACACAAAATTGTCACACGATTTATTGAGCCACATCCATGAAAATGTTGTTCTAGTTCTTCAGCTGTCGCTCCATAATCCACATTTCCCACGTATATGCTTCTGTTGTCCACTTCCATTTTCTCTTCGATTGACATGTTCAAGGTACTTGCTTTATAAAACATAGACATAATTAGCAAATCACAATATGGAAGAACGTCTTGCGAATGTTACCTCATAGGTAATAAACGTTGTTCTATTCTATTCTATATTATCATCATTCGTCTAATGATATAAAAACATTCATAAATGAACCAGAGTTGATAAAGATTATCATTCTTTTGACTTTTCTACACAAAACCTCTGTAGTTAATTTGTTTTAAATTTTGATACAGGATATATTATAATATAATATCTTCAGTGAATTGTTTTTCATACTCTTAAACTTATAGCGTACATGGATGAATTGAAAAATAGTAGGAAAATTACTGCAGAGTGAAATTTAGGGATCGACCAATACCAATATTTAATATTGGCTATATCGACTTCATCAAAAGCCAATAAACCTAGTCATTTTTTATTCAGAAAAAAATATTGAAAAATCAAAGGAACACTTACACCAAAGATACATCTTTATCGGCAATAAAATGTAGGTAACCTAACCAATAACATTATGGCGGATTGGAACTGTAACGTGATTTAAATTGAAAATATTTAAAGTTGAGACAAACGCGATCCGATAACAGCGCAACATGTGCAGTCAGCAATATGAAGAATTTTGCAAGCGAGACAGGACGAATTACAACGAAAAGAAACAAACAAAAAGAAGACAAAGACAATAATCGGTATTTATTAAATATCATTATCAGCCCATTAACGGTAGGTTTCAGAAATAAAATCGAGTTAGGCAATTTAAGGTGAATTTATCAATTTTTAATTTTTCTAAGTGCCTTTTCCCATAGATTTCAGCTTCAAATCTCAGAATACTTTAGTGTATGGAGTTTGACCATTAAGAGTATTAAGACACAAAATCATCAACATAAAAAAATTTGAAATTTCATCATTCTAGTACAAAAGTGACTAGGGTAATATAAACAAGCTTGTTCCTTTCTTTTCTTATCTATTTTAATATTCGTCAATCGGAATTCGACAGTAGATTATTTACCATGGAGGAATAAGCTATTAAAAAAATATTAATTATATAAGCATCTCGAGTTTAGTGAGCATTCTTGACCGAATTTTCTAATATTTGATTAGTGTACAAATTATTAAATTCCGTAAGTATTACCAACAACTATTTATAGCCTTCTGATCCTGCCCTTCAGTCACGCCACAGGTCCTAGAAAAGCCTCTTTATGCACTTATAAACTTTCCAAAGGAATTTACCTTCTGTTTTTTTTAGTGGTGATAGGTAGAGAAATCAGAACTTTGGTACTTATAGTTGAGCAAGTTTGGTATTGGGCTTTGAGCATTTGGCTGTAAATGTTTTCAATAACTTCCTCTTTAAATGATTACCATTTTTTACCAATTCAACAATTCGTGGTTTGATTATTTCTTTTTGGTAATTGGTGTCCCCCGGGGAAGCCGTCCGCCATAATAGGTTAGGATCCCATTTGTTACACGATTATACTATTTAAGGTAAGTGTAGCAGTGGGGCACTACCGAATACCGGCGAGAAATAGTTGGATTATGATTTGCTGTTGGATGTCAGCTGCACAATGTGATTCCAAGTGGATTAAGCCTACTGGTTCATATAAGAATAGCCAAATGCTAAAGAATTTTGCCAGGCAAACCTTGGGATTTAAATTTCTGAAAAGTTTGAAAGGTCAAAACTTTGTAAAATAGACCAGACCAGCATCGATCGATTTTGAGTCTTTTTGACTGAGCAAAATGAGTTTATGTTTATATTATAATATACCTACAGCAATTTAGACCAATATGGAGAATGATTTTGTATTGTATTGTACAGTTATTCAGATTAATATGGATCGATATACAGGGTGTTGCATCGACGGGCGGGATATAGAAAACCCTATGTAATTTTTAATTGAATCAATTATTATTGGCATCCCTAATTTTTTTAGAAAAAAAAATCTATGTAGGTTAATTGAAGAGCACTAAAATCCGCCAGATTCAGTGCTCCATTATTATGTAGGGTGCGTTTTTAACAGGAAAGAAGCGCAAAGTGTGTTCCAAAATAAACATATCGGATTGCTAGATAAGTTAAGATTCCTACATCAGAAATTTTAACGGAAGATGAAATTTCTAGAGACCTTTCCTGCCGGTAAATATGGAAGACGATAAAAAAAGAAAAATATTCAAAAAGGTATAGATGGTAACTCTTGTTTAGGCTTGGTTTATTCATCTTTTTATAAACTATCAGGTAATGCAATCTGAGGAATAAAAACGCAATTTGTAATCCCATTGGTCGGCCAGTTATCCGCTGACCAATAGGTTTAGAGATTGGTGAATTTATCTTGTGGACAGTATTCCCAGTAAGTTTATCTGGATATGAATAAACCGGTCCTTAAACAGTTGAAAATATATATTATTATCAGCTCAAAAATGTATTCTATATTGTGACTATCGTTTTTTGTTCGCGCATTGCTTTGTTTGATGAACAATGAATAGATGAAAAAGTTTTCAAATCTTTCTGTCAGAGCAAATATGATATAAATTGTCAGTACTCTAATTTCAAAGTGCCAGCGGAAACACTCATCAAACAATTTGCCCCACTGAGTAAAAATTTCACAAAGAAAGACTTCGTCGTATTATTTGCTGGGATGGTCAATGCTTTACAAGGGAAAGTCATCAATGAGTCTTGTTGGGATACAATCTCTGAAATATGCACCAGAACCAACTTAATCATAGTCACTCCTCCTTATTGTGACAACAGAAGAGTTCTCAAGTTTTATTTACAATTTTAACATGGATTTAAAACGCACCTGCACCAGAGGTGTATCAAGTGCTATTACTTACCCAGTGATAGCCTCATGTCTGCTTATGAGCGAAATCGAAATGGCTACCTGGATTATGAAATCAAGAAAAGGTTGTCCAGATTCATCTGTAAGCAAGCAATTGACCAAGAATATAACAACATGCAACATTTTCCCCCAGGCAACCACCTTCCCACTCAGCCTTAGGCAACACAACATCAGATGTAAACGCCTTGACCATTGAAACAAATATTCTTGAAACAGCAAATTCACAAAATAGAAACATCACAATTTCATACCAGAATGTTCGTGGACTGAGAACCAAAACGGTGCCATTCCAGCAGGAAGTACTAAACTGTGATTATGATGTTATTGTACTGACAGAGACATGGCTGAACGAGGGAATCACCGATGAAGAATTATTCCCTCCAAACTACATGGTATATAGAAGGGATAGAGAGCCAGATCAAACAAATAAATCAAGAGGCGGTGGTGTTCTCATCGCAGTGGAATACTCTTTCGAATCATCAATTTGTACAGTTCCTGATAACGAAGTTGAACAAATCTGGGTCAGTATACAATTTGGAAATGACAACTACATTGTGGCAGCACTCTATGTACCACCATCCTCCAAAGCCGCAGTTTATGAAGACCTTGTAACTTCCGTGAGTTATGTCCTTGACCATTTTCCGTCGACTAAGGTTTTGCTATTGGGAGACTTTAATTTGCCTAGCTACGAGACCTCGTTTGTTCAAATTAAAACTTGTGATAAAGCGGATGTTGATAATATTTGCCTCAACTTGCTTTCTACTAACAGTGACTGTGACTTTGATAAGATATTTACTTCCAACAATGAGTGTGAACAAATACTTTTCGACTGTACATGTTTTTACGACCTTACTCAGTAGTATAATAATGTTTCTAACGCCAATAATGTTAAATTGGATTTAGTTTTTTCAAACTACCCCAACATGTCTATATCAAATAACGTGTCACTTCTAACTAACGTTGATAGCCATCACCCGGCTTTATTGATTGATCTTTTTATTGACACAGTGTGAGATAATGTATCGGATCCGCAACTCTTCAGGTATAATTTTCATAAGGCCGACTACGATTTGCTGAATGATTACTTTGAATCTATTGATTGGAGCTTTTTGTATTGTAATAATATAAATAGTGCCCTCGAAATGTTTTATACAGTCTTATACATTGCAATTGACCTACATGTTCCAAAAACTAGAGTCTCAACTTTAAAATATCCTAATTATTTCTCAAGAGGAACGATTGCTCTGATTATTAAGAAAAGCAAAGCCTTTAAGAAATATAAACACACTCGATTAACTTGTGATGAGTGTCAGTACAAAATACTTAGATCACAGTCAAAGGCTTCCATTAAAAAAGACTATGATGTTTTCGTTCGGACTGTACAAAAGAATATCTTGAACAACACTAAAGCATTCTGGTCTTACATAAAAACTCAACGTAACACAGCTGGCTATCCTGTGAAAATGAGTTTTAACAATGCCAATTCAAGCGATCCTAGGATCATCACAGATTTTTTTGCGGATTTCTTCCAGTCTGTATTTACTGTACCCGTCCCTGCAGTCACTAAAAACCCATTTCCATGTTCTATCAAAAATATGGTCCTTTCTAACATAGAGATTAACAGTGATATTGTACTCCAGAAACTTATCGGACTGGACGAGAAAAAGGGAGCAGGACCAGATGATATTCCTCCAATTTTTGTGAAGAACTGCTGTCCAACTTTGACGTCACCCCTTAGTTACCTGTATCAGCTATCTCTCAATTCGGGTCAGTTCCTGAACCTCTGGAAATCTGCCTATGTAACTGCAATATTTAAGGGGGGTGTCAGGGAAGACGTATCCAATTATCGCCCCATATCTGGCATTGATTGTATGTCCAAGGTCCTGGAATCTATTGTTGTTGACGAGGTTCTGTCAAATCTTCACAACAGTCTTTCAGAACACCAGCATGGCTTCTTGCCAGGGCGTTCATGCCAGACAAACTTAGGTGTTTATTCCCATTATTTGTCTACCTTTATCGACTCTGGGGTCTGGGGGTCAGGTTGATTCGATCTATTTCGATTTTAAGAATGCCTTCGACAGAGTAGATCATGTTATGCTCCTCAATAAACTAGAGTCATTTGGCGTCACAGGCCCTCTTTTATCTTGGGTTGCAAGTTACCTCCAAAACCGAACACAGCTCGTTAGGA